AACATAGTTTCTGCCAGAAGCAAAAAGAAGGAAAAGAAAATTAGGCTTAACATAATTCGGAAGATTATTGCAACAGAAAGAGAAGTTTATACCTATATGCAAGAGATCGAAGGCGAAATACGATGAGTAAAGGTATTAGAATTGACCAGTGACCGGATTTTCATTTAATGTAAGTCGAATGCCTTATACACATGTGAGGTAAACTTCTGATCAGATGGCCTTTTTAAGCCCCTAACAATACTGCTTTTTGTTAGGTTTAACCGATCAGTGTGACAGCAATCCATGTCAGAATAACAGCATCTGTGTTGGTGGTAAATGCGAATGCCTTCCCGGATACTCTGGAGAAAACTGCAAAGAAGGTACGTTTGTTATTATAAAACGTATCAATGAGTGAGAGAACTTGGATTTGTTAATCATGGCTTGTTGGATATTACGTGATGTAGAGTCGGCTCATTCTCAGAAAACAACCATCGTATACGTTTTGGTGAATGAATAGGTTATCGGCGAAATTATCAAGGTATATTTTCTTTTACGTCTAGTTAGAAATAAAAAGGAGAATATCAGATGAATTATCGACATCCAGCCCTCTGTGGCATGAGTGATAAGCAAATTGTTTCGTAGCAAGGTATTTTGATACGCCTTTAGAGTCAAATATTATCTTAACTAGGATCTCAAACCTTAGAATTTTGCGGTCTGATGCCCCAGTACTGAGCCACAAGCTAGATTTACGGGTTGCGAAAAGACAAGCACAGATCGACACTGATGGCAACCCATTTACTTCCTGTTCTCGTTTTATTGAAGCACTAGACCGCACTTTCTATCGGTTTACCGGCGTAACAACCGCGGGAGAATACAAGAAAAAGTTTGTAAATAATGAGCCATAGGCGAGTGATTTAGGCGAGTGATTTGTACAGACTTTTTAAGCGCGATCTACCAGATTGTTGAACTAAACGACAGGTTTTAGACCAATCAGGGCATTCGTAGTATTACGAATGAACGAAGAAATAAATACATATGATATATATACATATATATATATATATATATATATATATATATATATATATATATATATATATCACCCAATTTAAAAAACGTTGCAATTTGAAAACATACATCAGATATACATACCTGTTCTTTTCTATATATATATATATATATATATATATATATATATATATATATATATATATATATAAACAATATATATATATATACATCGTCCAGCTAATGTTGCTCCTGAGTTTAAACCATTTACAGTTGAGGTTCAGTGGTTATTGCTATTATTAAAATTAATGCTGGCGGCAAGACTTAAGTGTGCACATTTTTGTTTTAACGTTTCTCAGATGTCGATGAATGTGCCAGAGGTGGACACTCTTGCCACAGTTCAGCCTCATGTATCAACACTATTGGATCCTACATATGTTCCTGTAACAATTTTACAGCGGGAGATGGAAAAACTTGCAGCCGAACATCAGGTTAGTTCCTTTTGTCTGATAGCTACCCTGCCTACTCTTATGACTGCTTTTAGAAACTATTCCCTCCTTGAATGTACATTTAGGATTGAAAGAGTTTTAAATAAAACTGGCAGACTGCACTGAGCCTGGTTTTACTTGTTTTGCTTCTCTCTGACACAGAGTGTCAAAACTATAGGAATCTGACTTGTGATAACAGAAAGATAACATCTGGTTATGATCGGTATTGTGACTGGAGACGTTACGGTTGGTATCGTTTTAGTGGAGCAGCAGGCACAAGAATGGCTACTTCATGTCCGCCTTTTAAGAGTTGTGGCAGTACTGCAACCGGGTGGTTGAGAGGCCGACATCCCGAATTGGCTGATGGACAGGTCCGCAGGTGGGTCTGCTTTCGCTGGTATTCATTCTGCTGTTGGTGGTCTCGGTTCATCAGAGTGAGAAACTGCGGCGCCTATTATGTTTATTGCCTACGCAGCACACCCGCTTGCAACCTCCGTTACTGCAGCACTGACTAAATCCACAAGAAGTGAAGCGTTTTCTTAGAGAGAGAATACTAAAACCTACCTTTGCAGTTTAAGTGTTTAAAAAGTGAAATAAGCATTCATGACCAAGAGATCTTAAAAGTTCTCCTTCCCCCAACTTATCCACCCAGAATTAAGATTATAGTCATTCAAATAATGATTAAAATCATAGTCATTCGAATAATCTGCTTTAGATATGTACAAGCTTCGCAGGTCGGTAAATCTCACCCCTCAGTCCCGAAGAAATAAAAATGCAAATCAAGGCCCTAGAAGATTTCAAGCCACCTTGAAAATGGCTTTAGTTATTTTAATACTGTGAGGTAGTTAACTAGCACTTTCGGTACTACTCCGATTAATTTTTTTGTAAATCGATATCCCTAACAGTGGTTTGAAAACTTTGCCGAGTTATACATTTTAACGCAAAGTGTAGTCTCGATACTGCAATAAAAGTAGTGTTAAAATGAGTATTAAAACCCCTCCCTTAAATTCAATTTTATTTTGGAGGGCCACATTCAGCTAGTCTTTGACTATCACGTATTTATTGTTGTTTCAGAAAGTCATAACATATTTATCAGCTAGAGGAGACATAAGTTCGTAAACATGCAATGTGACTGATATGATTATCATGATAAACACCAGATGATGAGTTTCGAGTTTGCCTTTCGTAAGAAATGCCAGGCAAGGCCAGTTATACAGGCAAAATTGTGAATAAATCAACTAGAATCTTTCAAAACACGAATAATTCTTTTTCGTGAGTCTCCTACAGTGTGTACATGCGAAATTTAAGAGTTTACGTGCTTGTTTTATTTAAGGCCATTTTCGAGATGCATAAAGCGTCTATTTTACCAGGTTCATGGAAAACCTTTGATGTGAAAATGATTTCTTTCGTAATATTGAATGTTTCTGTAACTATAATACTAACACTTATTTCTTAGCAATACTGATTCCTCACTTGTTTTAAATTAACAGTGTTCCTTTGGTGAATAATTTTAAGTTACACCGCTATAGGATCTTACGTAGATATGGGCTGCCAAATTACAGCGGAAGACGAAATTATACAGATGACGCCGTTTCCAGTTTATTCAAGGTGTTTTCTAAGTAAAGTTAGAGCCAAATGTTCCCTCGGCATGAATTTAGAGTAAGAAACTTCAGAAAAAATACATATTTAACCAAAAGGACATAGTTGACGGAACAAGAAGTTAATATTTTTATATTGAACAGCAGAGAAACCTATCGAACTCGGATAGACATCAGCAAGTTTTTCAACTTCAGTTAAGAACCACCTCGCTCAGAGGAAAGAGTTATGACCGTCATTTCTGGCTCAACCAATCGCATTGCTGATTTTCAGTTGCGTTAGTCATCAACGTCCTCACTTTAATCTGTAAATTTTGAGTTGTTTGAATTAAATAATGCTCCTTAATGCTTCTTTCTTTCACAAGAGACTCATATGATCATCCTTCCCGTGTTAAAGAGCCTCCTACATTTTCCTTTTGAACCTGGTTATATTGAGTCAAACCTCTCTTAATAATTTCACCCTTGGAAACTATTGCTACCCCTTAAAGCCTGAGGACTGGTAACTCAGTGGGCGCAAATCTAGGAGCTTGTTAGGGGTATTAGGTAGTCCCACAGAAGGGAACTTGAGAAATAGAACCTATAAAACATAGAGTTACCAAACTCTTCTAAGAAAATTAGGCTCTCTTGTTTTTGTGTGATTCTTCATCCCGTACAATCTTTTCGCTCCCAAATAAACGTACCGTTAAATAATCTATTCCATTAACTGAGACGTAGACTAATAACATGCAATAGGGTTATTTGATAAAAAATTGAAATTGATAATGAGTGTGAAGAGGCAAGGACCTGCTTCAATTAACACTTTTTAATTTATTCAGCACTCGATTAACTATTCTTTTAATATGCGCGTCGAGAAGAAGTTAATTCGTGAAAGCGGAAAATCGACATTTACAAAAGCTCTACTTACAAATAAGACGGGAAAAATAAATATGAACATAAGATGAGACGAAACTTACCAAGTGCTGAGGAAATATACGCAACACGAAACTTTCGTAAAGAAGAGGTTTACATAGAGGCAAAAATAAATACACACAATGCCGGAAGAGGCATGAAACATGAATTATATGGGGCGGCGTAATTTAGCTCCGCCTAAAGCGATGAAATAATGATGCATAAATGATACGTGAAAAAAACGAAAAGATTAACGTAAATTAATGGGTGCGAAGAGTATAAGACTTAAATATGAAAGAAATCAACAAATTATAAATTCCCGCAACAGAATGTTTTATTTTAAGCAGATAGCCATAAAAGGCTTCTGAAATTCGAGGCATTGACATTTAATTGCGAGCTAAGGCCATTATCAGTCCAAATTGTTCCACCTGAAGACAGCTGTGTTTAAGTTAAGTCAACGTTAAATGCAGATATATTTCCATTTCTCAGAGAGGCCGGTATGTCAACATTTGTGAAATGATTCACTTGACGCTCCTTCAATGCAGCCAGCTTACTCGTTCGAGGATTCATTGAACCTCTCGTTTTCTCCTCTTCCGCATCGTGTGCCGCAAAATTCGAGAAGTTGTGCGAGGAGTTACAGATTTTACACTACCAGTCGCCAAACTTTTATAACATACTACACAAATGAAAAAATATCTTTCCAATCCTGTAATAACCGTTAAAAAAATGAAATGTTTTTAATACCTTGGCACTATATCTGACCAAGATATAACTTGCATCTGCCTACAGGGTCACATTAGCGGGAAGATAAAGAAGATAAACTTCCGGGGAATGTAAACCCACACAAACGACTACTTTGTTGGAACTGCAAATAAAACAACTTTCTCATGGGGCATAATTAAATAGCAGCTTGTCAACAACAGTCCTATTGGCTGAAAACTGATGTGTATGACGTTCACCTTCAAACCAGTCATAGCTATTAATTGAGTACGTACGAGTCAACTTATTGGTGCTAATTAAGACTTGAAGTTCCTCAAATTTGCATCGATTTCCCCTCAGCTTCCCACATGTTTAGAAAGCAAGATTTCACGCAAATGGGTTTTCTCCTCCACTTTGTTTTTTTCTTGCCGATTAAGAATGTTTTATCTTGTTTGGATGGTGAGGATATGTCACTTTGCCTTTACGTAGCTTTAATTTTATTACGAGTTGTCATTTTATACTATTTATTTGCTCTCCTATTCCAATTGTTACCCCTGTAAATTTTACTTTTTTATTTTCTCCTTTACGTTTGTCTTTTAATGTTGAAGATCTCTGTTGTTTTGAAGCGAGGAAAATCTTCCGCTTTTCAGTGCAGAAATCCGTTCCCATGCGTGTACTCAGGGGAGTATGTCGCAAGTTTCGATCAATTTGGAAGCGATATTCTAATTTCTTTTATTTACCTTTCTTGTCCTAAGGCAAAAAACCCAAACTTTACCTCGCAACACATTACCTGAAATTATGTTGACGGTTTATCAAGTATTTTTTCAAGTTAGATTATATCCAGTTAAAGCAAAGTTATAGCACGCATATGCAACGAGCTGTACAATAAGCCTCCTAACCGAGTTTTGGGGAAAAGAGATCATCCCTAGCTTATACTGGCCTCACGACTGGGCTTTATTTCGATTCTGAATTCTTTTTATTCATCAATCCTTAATCTATTATACTTTAGCTCAATTCATGTTCTTTTATTTTAGTGTCAGAATAACTCTAACTAGGGGTGATAACCACGTTTAAACTTTATACCGGCTTTTAGAGCATTCATTATTTGTAAAATTAACATATTAGCCAAATTGTTTGGCAGCATGACAGAATTGTCAAAACACCGTGAAGGAGTATCGCCCTTCAATTCATATTAAAAAGAAAAACGATATTAATAACAATAATAACACGTTTTACATTGCCATAGTTTGAATAACATGGATCATATCGCCTATTTTAAACAGAATTTCTTATTTCATGATCTGAAAGAGCCTGGAAACATATACTCAAACGTTCATATAAAAAAGGTGTTTCATAAATATCAAGAACATCCACAATCCTCCTCAGATCAGTGTTGTGGTTTCAAAAGTTTCTTCTATTTTAGATCAATGCCGTATATTGGCATTTCCATCCACTTTGTTCTTCATGGGAGAACGTCTCGTAAACCACACCATAGCAAACATCAATGTGATTGACAGGGACACGTGTGAATATAGATGCTACCTGAACCATAACTGCGTCAGTGTCAACTTTTATTTTGGACCAAGTGAAGCAGGAATACAAAACTGTGAACTGAACAACTCGACAAAAAAGAAACACGATAAGGATCTGACGAAGGCAGCGAACTATGTGTACCATGGAACACAAGTAAGGATAAATTATCTTTTAGCAATAATTTTAATTCATCCAAAGCTCAAATGGAATTTTTTACGTTTATTAATGCATTTACCTTTGTCACAGTGTTTACTATGTTGGAAAATTATTTCCAATGACGCCACCACAGCATTATTATATTTTCATTTATTTAATAAACTAGATTACCTATTTATTCATCATTTTATTTCTTTACGCAGTGAAAACATTTAGTTATTTATACTTTCACGCGATTACTTCTTATCTCACTCTTTCATTTATTTTTTTATTTATCTTTTTTGCACTTATCTTTATGACGCTGTTTACTGCATTAAAATCAAATGAAGAGATTCCCTCGGTCTAGCAAAAATATTCCTTATAATGATGATACCACATCATGTTTTTATTTTTTGACCAAATGACTTACCTCTTTTTTATTTCTTTACATATTCAAACCTTGTTTACTTACCTATTTAGGGATTACCTGTCAACTCAATATTTTATTTTTCTGTTTGGTTCACTGATTTTTTCTTTTCATTTTCAGAATGCTTGTGATCGTGCTCACTGCATCAACAACGCCATTTGTCAATCTGGTTTTACAAGTAAGGGATATCGATGCGTGTGTTCTTTTGGATTTACAGGACCCCATTGTGAACAAGGTGAGACATAAAAATGTTTTTATACACTGTACCAGTTTTTATCTACAACAAAAATAATTTGTGATCCATATTTTAAAAGCAATCTGTGTAATCGATGTTTAGGGATAACACGCCCGTAACTCTAAAGTTCTTTGTGATTACCACTGTTTCAATCTGTTGGTTAGTTACGAAAAATGTGTATTTCAAATTGATACTCACTTTTTAGATATTGACGAGTGTTCAACGAAAACTCATGGATGTGATGCTAATGCCGTATGCCATAATACCGAGGGATCATTTATCTGTAAATGCAAGGCTGGTTATGTTAGAAATGGTCAAAATTGTGTAGGTAAGTTATTATTAGTAGGTTATTAATCGGCTGGCTCTGTTTGAAAATACTTTGCCTGAAAATAATGTCCAGCCGGCAACACAAAATTTATTTAAGAAAAATGGCAACGGAGTTAGGGATGTTCTCGATGACTCACGAAAGCATTACCGTGCCCGTGGGCAGAGATAGGAAAATCCGTACCACAATGAAAGCGAATCAGATTGCAGGACCCGTTACCATGCCATCTGAGAAAAAAATAGAAAACTAAAACAAACTGAAGTGGCCGAGAGAGGATTGAGAACATACTTTTTCCTGCTAGCTTTTTCGTGGCGACTATGTTATGACGCGAAGAGGACGGCAGAGGAGAATTAAAAATTTAAATTGAGAAACCATTGCGTCATTTTCTTTCTGTATTATTGTACTACAAATCCAATTTTCGACAGACAGATCATCTACATTCCCGCACCTCGCTATGTGTTGCACATACACGTATTCTGCTCGCAATGTTTGGTCAAATTCTGTCCGGTTCCGGTGAGATGTCTAAAAGACACCTCGTGGAAAGTAGCGACCGATGAAATAATATGTTTACTTCAATCCCATCTGCAATTTCGTATTGGAAGTAGTCCTACGAGAATTTGAGGGAACACACTTCGACCAGCTTTAGCCGCCGGCCGTTTGTTTTCATGATTTGAGGGCACCTTCTAGCTTTTCTCACACAAGGGCAGCCTTGTTCACGATAAGATGTTCACAAAAAAAGATCGTTTGAGGTCAAAATAATTTTTGTTGATCCGAGGTTTCCCAGACTAGATAGAATATTCATTTACATGCCGAGCAGACCCATTAGGGATAAATTTCCTCAGAGTCCCGGTCGATTTTACTTTAAACTGAACCGGAAGCTCAGTTTTGAATTAGCTTCCTTCAGTCAGTGTCAGAATGTCTTGCTTGAAAGTCCTTTGTCATAAAGTTGACAGACTGTTCTCAAGAAAAAATTGAGATTTCTCTGAAACATTCAACCAACGCCGTTCAAACTGCTCTTGAGGTGAAGCGTTTTTTGTTTTATTTCAAGTGAATTGGGTCCCAAGGGCCGTAAACACCAGAGACGAAAAGGCGGGACTTAAACGCAGGGCTAAGTTTAAGAAAATTGGCCGGTGACGCCAAGTTTCATGACGTCATGGTATAGAGAAAACTGTCTATTTACGCCCGCTATGGGTATAAATAGGGTGTATCTACCTTTCTTTTTAAAATAAAAAATCGTTTGGATTATTAAGGAAAGTGTTAACTCTTTGATGAGTACCTTTTTATGATAAGGAACCAACTTATAATATGCATCAATGCCAGCCCCCACCGCTAAGGATATGTATCAACGTCAACGCTGAGCATAACGTAGCAAATTTTAAAGTCGTGGATTGCTCGCTAGAGCCGATAAGTAACAAAAACTTTCCTGCGCTTGAGCCTGGCTGGCTGTACTTTTGTGAAATGCCTTGGTTTATTGCATCGTTAAACCTTTTTTCCTGATTGGCAAGCGTATTTAGTGTTGGCTTGGCCTTACTATTCTCGATCGTCAGGCGCTTTTTGGACTTTGTGATACACGACAGGGCTTTCCTGAGGTCACTTAAAGCTCACAATCAATTTCATTATTTTGACAGAAATTTTGGACTGTGCGCTAAATCCATGTCACAATGAAGGAACCTGCATCGAGGAAGCTTTTACATACAAATGCAAATGTCTACAAGGATTCACTGGTGATCACTGTGACACAGGTTGGATAAGCAATGTTTTATTCTTATTTGATAATCTTTTTTTGTGCATTAATAATTGTTCCTGTAACATTTGCAAAGGCGCTAGTAACTTCTTCGGCAAAATTTTATAGATAAAGCCACAAAAGTCGATTCTAGTTTACCGGAGATAACTGCGAAAAAAGGATAGTGCAATGCACTAAGGCTTGAACTGTTTAATCCAAAATAATTTACTAAATTAGGCAGTTACTTAAGTGTCAATTGACTAAGTTTGCTGATTAAAACTAATACCAAATTAACACCAGCAAAATATGTTTAGTTAATACCCACAACTGCAATATGACTGGTGTGGGGTCTGTAAAAATAAGCCAGGATCATTTAGATGCAGTTGTAAACCCGGGTTTACTGTAGACGGACACAACTGTGAAGGTTTGACAAGATCTCTCCGGCATATCCTAGTTAAAAATTAATGCTTACGATGAGTGCATAGTCTGTAATCTGCATAAAAGGTAGCTATCAGAAAATTTTTCCCAATTCAGTTTTCAAAAGAGAAGCGAAATTTGCAAAACTGCTGTCAAAACACAAGGAAGAGACAAGGCATTTACAGGTTTTTATTGTGGTCACAGATGTGATGAAAATGCCATTATTTCCTCATCTGCTTTTCTCTCTTGGCTGTGTTGAGCTGCGAAGCTCGAAATGAGATCACAAAAAAGGGAGAAGCCTGTCAGGAATATTATTTATGTCAATGGAAGTTTTGGTGTGATAGAGTAGCTCCAGTGAGTATCAACTAAACAATCTATATCTATGTATATACACATATAGTTAACCCTCTTCCGTCAATAAATGAATCTTACTTGGCTTATCTTCATGAGTTCCTGGTCCCTGCCGTCGGAAATAATTCCCACTGGTTGCTATGCTACCGCGCCTCTTTACATGGCTGGGAAGGAAAGGACTTCCACACTCGTTGCGATGGAAAGAAATATACCGTAACAGTTATAAAGAAAAGCCAGTATGTTTTTGGAGGCTACACTGACGTTCCATGGGGTAAGTAATTTTCGCCATTTGCAACCCCGCGATCACGATTCCATCCCAAACCACTTAACCTATCGATGTCTCATCCAACAAACAAACAGACTCAAAAACACAGTCCTAACTTTCCTTTGCAGCATTTGAAGGGATTCTAAGGTTATGTCGTTACTTCGTTCCTCTTCGCCGCCTTGTCAGTAGTAGTATGTGAGTAATTATTTACAAAGAACGGGCGCTCCCGTTTTCGGAAAACCAAAGGGTTCGAATGTTAACATGAAAACTTCAGGGAGACTGCTCGGTTCGTGAGTCTAGAATTTTAAATCATTTTGTGTGTAGGCACGCGTTTTCAATAAATCAATCCCTCCAAATTCATGTCAGAACCTTAACTATTTCACGATTCAATCTGTTGGACACGAATTCTCATATTTCTGCCATGGTTTTCGTGTAATGATTTTAACCAGGGTTACTGACATCAAGATGAAGGACTTCTGAAAATGGGTATCATAATCCTAACTACGAAATATTGAGCAACGAGATCATTTCCTTTTAATTCTAATGATCTTTTATCCGAGAAAAAGGAGCCATTCATGGCTAACGGATTCAAAATGTTTTATTAGCCGATTGTCCTTCGGGAGCAAGAACGAAGGACCCGTCAGGTCGCTGTTGTGTATTTCCTTTCGAGTATGATCAATGTGGGAAATCTTTGGAGACTACTTGATGCGCGAATCCAAAGAGTATCGATCATATCTAAGACGTTTTGTCAATCAGTCACTACCTACCAGTTCATGACTGCACTCATGTTGCAGCTCCTTGAATCAATTTTTAGATGTGCTACCTCAACCGTCTGCGACATTTTTGTAACAAGTTTTTATAACCAGTGTTATAGATGGAAATCACGAAAAGGACTCACGCATAATGCTGCCCTCACTAGTTCATGTGCAAATATGTAATGTAACCCTATAACCCTTAACTTCAAAACTTGGTGCAAGTAGATTATGCCCTTTCTATCTTGAAGATTTCGTGAATGATATTTAAAACCGATAATCCGAAAAAAAAGCTATGAATGATGCACTAAATTAGAATGTTTCCTTAGCCGATTGTCCTCCGGGAGCAAGAACAAAGGACCGGTCTGGTCGCTGTTGTGTATTCCCTTTCAAGTATGAAGGCCGTACCTACAACTCCTGTACAAAGAGTGGCTCTTTTATTGGAAGGTGGTGCTCATTCGAGGCTGTCTTCAAACGTGACTGGGCTTATTGCGGTAAGAATAAATGTAATTTTTCATGAGATATACATATCAATATTTTCCTCTTTCCCTTTTTTTTTAGTCTCAATAACTTCATGACAAAAATATGCAACAAATAAGTCATAAGATGATTTCCTTCAACTGCGGCTGTATGTTGCCAATTTTTATAGAATAAGTAAGCAAACTAAAAACATTTCTATGAAAGGATTGCAATTTTTTCTCGTTGTCTTGACCTGTAGATGATGATCCGTATGAAGGATATCGTAGGACCGACAAGGCTTTCATTTACTCGCTTGAAAACAAAGAAGGACTGGCGCCGTTCAAAAGTATGGTGAAGCGTGGTTCCCAGGCGATCTATATGGGGATAAGCTATGGTCCAACATTTGGCGGTGGTCACGATATTCATATTGCTAACAACGCAGGTCATAATGCTCATTCGTACACCAACTTTGGTCACTCTTTCTTGGCTCCAAGTGAAGTAAAGGAAAAGGTTACAGTGTTAACTGGAACCTACCATTTTACTCCCGATGAAGTAGAGGTGTTTTATCTCCCTTAGAGCTGAAAATACAACTGCAGGTCTATTTCTGTTTCTAAGCCAGGTATTTCGAACCTACACTGTCTCTGCCCAGTGAGGAATGTTAATTTTTTTGTAACAATAACTGCAAGCCGAAATGCTGGGCGGTAATAAGTAGCGGTGGATTAACATCCCGTCCACGAAAAGGGTGTAGGCGTGTAATATGCAAGGGTGTACATGCTGTGGTTGCCGTAACCAGGATAAACTCCGAGGTTATAGGTTACTCAGGCTCGATTCATGCGCATACTTTTGATTATGCCTAGCGGGCACTATGATTAGAGTTGTAATTGAAGATTCCCTGCTTTGTTGTTGATATTATTATTACTGCATGCCTTAATGTGAGATCGGTGGTTTGAACTTTTTATTAAGTTTTTATGTCTGATCAAAACTAAGTAATCCAAAAAACATTTAAACAGGGGTGAAGAACAACTTTAATAAATCTTACAGAATAATTGGCAGGGTATTGTAATTTATTTTAGAGGCGTAAAACCAGGATACGTCGCATAATCATCTTGGAATCTTAATATTACACGTTGAACAAAGTCAGATAACAATTAGAAATCTTCGCGAGATACTTTCTCGGAAAAGCAATTATGTGGTAGTTACCACTCACTCTTATGACAGTAGGGGCGAAGTTTTTGTCTTTTCTTGGAGATTTTTGCTGTTTTTGTTAATTTCTTTAAAGGTTTTACATTACCCAAAATGCCAGTTATTCTCAGCATATTTGCTTCTAGCTCAACACAGTTATTAGGTGTGTTATAACTAGCAAAATGAGACATGGACGCCAAAATCGCGCTTTAGAGGTAGTCATGAACGCTGCGCAATGCTCACTATTATGATAATAAGCTTATGAAACAATGAACGTAGCGCTCTATTTTCCTTTCATTTGTTTTGGTTAATCATTTGGCCTTTCTAGTTACGTTTTACGCGTTAAGATTTATTGTGCGGTGCGGCTTGAACAAGATATAACGCATGTTAACGACCTCGATCCATATTTTTTGGTAATAAAATTGGCAACTTATATCAATAACAACTTTAGGGACCCCAAACTTCTGACTAGTAAAATCGACTTAAACAACGCGATTATAAAACAAAAACACTGACACCTACTGAAGGACTTCATGTTTAACAAAGACCTAACAATATGGCCAAAAACTTGTCAAATTAAAAGCTGTTTTTAACTCAATCGAAACTCTGTTGAATCTGTTGATACTGTATGACTCTCGCAACTGCAGAGGGAAAAGCCTGCCTCTATATCCTAGGGAAAAGCGATTAAAATTTTCTTTATCAATACTAGGTGCGTGAAAACCTTGTTAAAGTGTCTCATTTTACGGCAATTCATAGTGTAATTATTTTAAATTTAAATTTTAATCTTCAGTTAGTGGACAGGAAGGAATGTGTAATTACACTGCAAACAAAGTTTACTAGAGGACTAGTAGTTAAGGACACTCAACTCTTCATTGACTTTGTACATTGACAATAATACTTTTTTTTCCAATCGCGGTACTTTTACCATTCGCATGTCACAACTAGGGAAAGGTGGAAGCGAGCCCTTTTTATAATTTACGTTTTGTGCTCAAAATATGGTCATTAACAGCATCTGCTATCTGTCACGTATTTCATCTTACACAAAGTATCCGACGTGCTGTATGAAAGGAATAAGAACTTAGCGGGATCTCCATTTGCTGTTTACTTTGCTGGTTTAAAATGTGCATAAACCATATTAATAAACGACTTAAGTGCGTAAGCAGGTAACTATTTATCAAGCACGATAGTTTGAATGACATTACCATACAAATAGACAACATCTCTTTTTTAATTAATGAGTATGAGAGAATCAACTGTCATGAAAAAAACAAAGAAATGTACCAGATTAGAAACGAGCGTGTAATTTGCGCACCACTTTACACCTTAATTTAACGCGTTTTAAGAAAAGAGGTTATGATGAACAGCTTGTATGATAAATTAATATGAAAAGAATCTAAGCACGTTTCAAGAAATACAGTCACACTAAGAAGTGTGTAGATGTGAATTTTCTTCATTTTGTATGTGTGTGAATTTCCAACGCATTTTTCTGAGTTTGCGTGTCCTGACCTTAAACTTGAATTCTATTGGGGTTTTCATTCTGCTCTCAAGTTCCATTCAAATCATTTGCATTATGCGTGTTTGACGCCAGTCATCATCAGTATTTTCTCGACGACTTCCTCGATCGAGTTTGGAGGAAAATTCAGAGTAAAATTGCATAGAAAGGTTTTGTGAGGACCGAAAACAAGTAAAACAAACTGTTACGGCTGATGGCTTCTTGTTTTGATCGGTTGCTTTAAAAGAGAAAATAGAGGGAAGTGGTTGAGGTTTCAATTAGCCTGCTACAAAGTTATCAGGCACCTGCTGTTCAAATGGAAGTGACGTTAGTGAAGCTGTTTTACATAGAACAGCCATGAAGACGCCTACGTGTTATAGAATGTGAAGAGGTGACGTGTGGAGAGAAAATGCAAAGGAGGGTTTGACATTCATTGAGGGTGAAGAGATATTTTGTCAACAATCTCTTTTTATCAAACGGTAGGATATAGTAGATTAGACACTGGCTCAAAAACGTTTAAACGTCATTTCTGTTTTCGAGCCTTTTAAAAAGGGGAGGGAGGATTATTCACCATTGTGTCGAGGTTAATTGCTTGGGTCTGCTTTCTCCCTGTCATTACTTTACAAAACATTTGATTAAAGAGGGAAAACGCTTTGGGTTGTTTATTTAACAAAACGATGTGGATGAACGGCAGCTTCTAAACTCGGTTGGTATTCTACGAATGTTAACTGTAGATTCATCAACAGCGGAGAAGTATGTTGTGTACATTTCGCCTTGTAAAAATCCTCTTCTTTGCGTTTCTGATGGAGCTTGTCACAGCTAATGATCAATGCAGGACAGAAGTAAGCATTCAAGGTATGGCTCTCAAGCTTTCCGTCTTCAAAAGATGGTCATTGGCGGCTCCTCACCTCTGCGATATCAAATGTGAACAAGAAATCAGGTGCCAAAGCTATAACTACAACAGAAAATACAAAATATGTGAACTAAACAACCGCACTAAGGAGGCAAGACCACAGAATTTTCTTTCAGCCCCTTCATGGTTTTACATCCGACGATTGAACGGCAGAGGTGAGAATTAAAAAATCTGTTTAACTATCTGACCTATTTCTTCCCCTTTAACTCAAAAGTGGCTTAAACACCCCGCGGCATAACTCGATAATAACTGCTTTTCAGGTGAAAACAGCGAAGATTGCCTAAAAAAATGGGCGCTAATCCGTTTTGGCGATATTTTTTTGCCTCTCCTCATCGAATTCGCTTACGAACAAGCTTGTTTAACCTTTCACCTAAGGAGTCTTTTCCTCTTCACAGTCTAGTTTTATACGCAGCAGATTGCAACATCTCCACCTGCAACTGAAATTAGGAGATGTTTACGCGATTAAAATTAAAAAACAAGGAGGTTTGCCGCGAAAAATATTTTGGGAGCCGTGATGCAATGATGAAATGTTTTAATTGGCTGTTCTCACTTTAGGGGAATCAGAGCTAAGATAGAAAAAACGTTTTAATAAACGATTTGCGCTCGTTTTGACATTTTACCCAACTTTTTCCTGGAAACTTTAGTTCAAGTACCAAGGCTTAGCTTCTCATGAAGAAAAAAATCTGTAAAAATTGGCCCTTTAAAGTTTACCGTATTCTTAGCTTTTTTCCATTCTTAATCAATCCTGTGCCTCCTTTCTTGATTTTAAAAAGAAGAATGAAACGTATATCTTTATTGCAGCACCCTTAGGTTGTATCCCTGAATTACCAGCATTGTCCTGTCACGAAATAAAGGCAAGTGAAGGTAAAGACACCATCAGCGGCAAGTATTGGCTGGATCCAATTGGCACAGGGAAGGCAACATTGGATTACTGTAACATGGTTAACGAGGGTAGGTCTTAACCATTTTTTACGAGTTACTTTTAAGAAGACATTCGAAGATTCTCCAAGGATACAACACTTATTTTAATATGGTGTTGTAGAAAATCCTTTCATATGTATATAAAAGATAATGAAACCTCGACTTTGCTCTGTTCTGTTGTGAAGAACGTACAAGCAGTTAGAGCACGTAAAAAATGTAGGGAAACACAAGATAGAGATGAGTGCTGTCCCTCTTCCTGGCTGTTGGTTGATGAGCGATGTTTTAATCTTATTTGAAAACAATTTTATTGACATTAAATAGTGTTCTTATAACATTTTCAAAGGTGGATATAGATATCACCACAGATGTCGATTGGGATTTAAAGAATAGATAGTCAGACTATGATCTGACACTCAGAGCATTGCACTACACACAATTTTCAATCTGCAAACTGCAGAGAGATCGCGATGAGCAGATGTATAAAGAAATGAGCAAAAAAAAAAAAATTCTATTAAAAATTTGAACCTTGATACGTGCACGTTTTAAGTATCGCGACAGACGTGATGAATAGGTGACATTTTCATTTTTTTGCTTCTTGGCTTTTTTCAGATTCTAGGCGCTGAGTGCACAAAAAGGAGAAATGATTTTAATTACGAGGAACAAGCAAAACCCAAGGGAAATTTTCTTAATTGTGTTGTGGTGTTACAAATTAGCTTAAGTAAATATTAACTGCTGATACATATATATATATAGTAAGACATCCACGTATTCCATTTCGACTGTTGCAGGATACATTAAGAACTCAAACATACTGTCGAACAATGAAAGTTACCTCGCATTTCTTCGTGAATTCCTGGTTCCTGCTGTTGGAAATGATTCCCGTTGGTTGCTCTGCTACCGCGCCTCTTTGCATGGCTGGAATGGTAGGGACTTTCATACTCGTTGCGATGGAAAGAAAAATACTGTAACGGTTATAAAGAAAGACCAGTATGTTTTTGGAGGGTACTCTGATGTTCCATGGGGTGAGTAATTTTCGACTTCTGCAACCCAGCAATCACGATTTCATCCCAGACCAGTCAACCTATCGATTTCTCATCCGACAAACAAACAAAGAGACTCAAAAACACAGTCTTAGCTTTCCTTGGCAGAATTTGAAGAGATTCTAGGATTATGTCGTTACTTCGTTCCTCTTCACTGCATGCGAGTAAAGTATGCGAGCAATTATTTAAAAACGTGCGCTCCCATTTTTGGAAAAGCAAAGGGTTCGAATGTTAACATGAAAACTACGCGGAGACTGTTCGGTTCGCGGGCCTAGAATTTCAATGCATTTTGTGTTTAGGCACGCGTTTTCAATAAATCAATACCTCCAAATTCATGTCAGAACTTTAACTGCAGCCTCACGATTCAATTTGTTTGACACGAACCCTCATATTTCTGCCATGGTTTTCGTCTAATGATTTTAATCAGGGTTACTGACATCAAAGGGACTGCTGCAAATTTGCAAATATGGAATAAAAACAGGTATCATAATCCTAAACCCGAAATATTGAGCGAAGAGATCATTTCTTTTTTATCATAATTATCTTTTATCCGGGAAAAAGGAGCCGTTCATGGCTGACGGATTCATGTTTTCTTAGCCCATTGTCCTCCAGGAGCGAGAACAAAGGACCCGTCAGGTCGCTGTTGTGTACTTCCTTTCGAGTATGAAGGCCGAACGTATCACAAGTGTGCTGGGAAAGTACCGGGAAATTTTGAGAGACCGTGGTGTTCATTCGATGCTGTCTACAATGGTGACTGGGCGTCTTGTGGTAAGAAAGAAAGTTCTTCTCCATAATGTATACATATCAGTATTTTTCTCTCTCACATGTTTCAGTTTCATTACCTTCATGACAAAAATATGCAAAGCATAAGTATTTTTATGGTTTCTTTCAACTTAGACTGTATGTTATCAGCACTATTGAACAGCTTTAGGTGAGAAGAAAAGCAAGATACAAAAATAAAACCAATAAAAAGGTTGCAATTTTTGCTTACTGTCTTGACTGTAGATGAAAATCCCTATAATGGATATCGCAAGACAGATAGGGCTTTTATTTATTCGCTCCACAACAAAGAAGGACTGGCGCCGTTTAAGAGTATGGTGAAGCATGATTCCCAAGCCATTTTTATGGATATAAGCCATGGTCCAACGTTTGGTGGAGGCTTCGATATTCATATTGCCAACAACGCAGGTCATAATGTTCATTCGTACACCAACTTTGGTCACTCTTTCTTGGCTCCTAGTGATGTAGAGGAAAAAGATACAGTGTTAGCTGGAACTTACTATTTTACTCCCGATGAAGTAGAAGTGTTCTATCTCCCTTAGAGCTGGAATTACAATAGCAAGTCTATTTCTGTTTCTAGGCCAAAGGGAAAAGCCTGCCCCTATAGCCTGGGAAAAGCGATTAAACTTTCCCTTATAAAACTATGCGCGTGAAAACCTTCTAAATTGCCTCATTTTATTACTCATATTTCAAAAATATGTAATTACAGTGCAAACAAAGTTTACTAAAGGACTAGTAGTAAAGAACACACAATTCTTCATTGATTTTGTACATTGACAATAAAATTTTTTCAAATTGTGGTACTTTTACCTATGTCACAACCTGGGAAAGGTGGAAGAGAGCCCTTATTATTATAATTTACGTTCTGTGCTCAAAATATGATCACTAACAGCATCTGCTATCAGTCACGTATTTTATCTTACCCAAAATTTCTGGTGTGTTCCATGGTAGGAATAAGAACTTAGCGGGATCTCCATTTGCTGTTCTCTTTGCCGGTTTAAAAATTTGCATAAACCATATTAATAAACAACTAAAGTGCGTAAGCCGGTAACTGTTTCGTCAAGTTTCGTCAAAATTACCATACAAATAGACAACATCTCTCTTTTTAATTAGTATGAGAAAATCAACTGTGATGAAAAAAACAACACGAAAAAGAAATGTATTAGATTCGAAACGAGCTTGGAATTTGCGCACAATATTTGCACCTTGATTAAACGTGTTTTAAGAAAAGACATTATGATGTACAGCTTGTATGACAGGTTAATATGAAAAAAACCCAAACACGTTTCAAGAAAAACATTCACGCGTGAATTCCTTCTAGCGATAAATTACTTTTGAAAAGTTTTGGAAGGATTATTCACCATTGTGTCGAGGTTAACTGCTTGGGTCGGCTTGCCTTTCCCCTGTCATTACTTCACAAAACATTTGATTAAAGAGGGAAAATGTCTTGGGTTGTTTATTTAAAAAAAATGTGTATGAACGGCAGCTTCTAAACTCGGTTGGTTTTCTATGAATGTCAACTGTAAATTCATCAACAGCGGAGAGATATGTTGTGGGCATTTCGCCTTGTAAAAAACCTCTTCTTTGCGTTTTTGATGGAGCTTGTCCAGTTAATGATCTTTTTATTTTTTTTTATTCCATTTTCACTGCAGTTACATCGTCACATGATAAAATGACAATAATAATAATAATATTGATAATTATGGTATTAATACTTAACATATCAATTAGTAAAACTCTAAGTCCATAACAAAGCAGTGGGGTAGAGTATAAGGGAACTGACGAACCATGCGTGCTAGTCAACCCATTATAAGAAAAGCTAACTTACTAACTAACAACCTTAAGACAATAACAATAATGATAATAACAGTATTAATAGTGACAGTATCAATCAATCAATAAAAAATCTAACTCGTTATAAAAATAATAACTTACAGACTAGCAACCTTACTAACTAACTGCTGATTTTTGCCCAGGTGGTATGAGGGCGCTCGGGGTCAAAGGCCTTATCTTTATAGAAGGTAGTGCATAGTTTCTTAAAAGAAGAAACACTGAAATTAGCAGTCCTCAGCTCATCTGGTAAATTGTTCCATAGATACGGAATCCTGTTAAAAAATGTTTCCTTAAAAAGTTCCTTCCTAACTCTATTCGAACCCACCGAGTTCTCTCGGTGGTTTCTTGGTGGGTAGGAATAAAACTCAAAAGTTCTGTCATCAGGTTTATGATATCACTATACAAAAACAAAACAAAACAAAACAAAAAAATACCGTTCTTGCCTGGAGATCATCAGGAGGCCTAGTGGCATGGTTGAGCTGGAGCAGGTCAAGAGGTTTAGGCTCGAGACCTTGCCGGGTCATGAAGTGGTCCCAGGAACTTCCAGAGGAATCCATAAAAAAGCATACTCGCTCGAAGAGGGGTGGGCATGGGTTCGATACATATCGTTCTTCTCTTCAAGTATCGTTTTGGCATTTGTTTAAAATCTATCTTAGGCTAATATTTCCTTTTAGCATTTTTTTTGCAATCGGTAGCAACTTTATTCGTGGCAAAGTTAACAAAACTGTTTTTACATCCCCAGGAGATGAATACTACAATTGTTTGCTAACAAAATATAAGTTTTCCACGAGTCCTGACTGCTTTTCTGATCTACCCACTTCTTTATATGTCATGAGAAGGAATGAGACGAAAAAAACAAAAAGAAAAAAAATACACAGGAAACAACTTGCAAACATTTTCCCTTTGAGGGCAAATTGGTTTCGTGAAATTAATCCCAATCGAAAAGAAGTAATCGGGAAAACCAGCCTTCAAGTTACACGAAATTCACTGCATAATTATGATCAATACTCAAGAATCCTTAGAATTTACCAAAATTGTCAAAATAGTTAGGAGTTCTCGAGCAGACTGAAGCGCGGAAGATTGTTTGCTTTTTCCTAACTTTAAAAAAAAAAAAAAAATTCCTAAATTATGTTTTTGTTTTAGGCCTAAAAACAACGATTCGCAACCATTTTAAATGAGTAATTTGATAAAAATCTAACAAAAGTTTTGTATAATACCACATTTAAATTGCACTAAAAAATGCAGGGTCTTTTTTTTTTGTTTTCCTAAAGAATGACGGTCTTTTTAAGAGTGTTAAGGTAAATTTGATCCTGAATCGTTCCTTACTTGTGAACAATAACACAGCCGAGAAGTCACCTGTCAATGCAAATAGTTTATTGACAATGCAAAGCAAAATAATGTTTTAATTTATCTCGTCTATATATTTCGATAGAATATTTGTATTTTTTTAGTTGTCCCGTCTTATTAGAGGCGTACAGAATCACTTTTTAAGCTATTTTCCTCTGTTTTGTTTTCTTTTGGATGAAAATATTGGTACTTCTATTTAACATCCTATCAATTATTCTCTTCCGATGCCGCCGAAAGAAGTGAGTAATCACGCAATGCACCGCTTGTCAGAAAAAAAAAAATAACATTGTAATGTTGAGTAATAAAAATGATAATAATAGCAACGAAGATAATGGTAAAAATACTCTTTCTATAGGCGTATGAGATTATGGACTATTTGGTAGTTCCAGAAGTTTAACCAGTTAAAATATGAGTTTTCAAGAAATATTGACGTTTATGAAAGGATAACAACAAATTTTAACACGGTCTTAAACTTTATCAATATACTTCATAAAAAACTACTTGGAACATTAAAAATCCCAGAAAATCAACTTGAACTTGAACAGCTTGAACTTCAAAACAAAAGAAGACGAAATTATAAATTATATTGAAAAGTTCATTTTCAATTATATTGAAAGCCATTTTCATCTTACCGACAGTTTGGAAAACTGACGCTAAAACAAGAGAAATGGTTAACAAGAGAATAGAGCTTAATAACTAAATACATATGCCAAACGCTAAAAACTCTTGGAATGTATGCAATTCAAATCAATTCAAATAAGTACCCTACTTAAAAGTTAATTCGAGCGAGGTGATTCTAAATCAAGGTATAACGAAGAAAAAAAAATGCATGGAGCTGATAATGGTGTTGGAATTTTGGAGGTAGTTCCCTCACAAAGCAGAGGAGAACTTGATTGAGAATAATGAGTGTCAAATATATATCAGAGAGGCCGTCTCAGAAATTTCTGCTCGCTCTAAATATTTTCGCCTGTCGGTTTTTACCTTTGCTAAAGGATTTGTCTTCGCTTTCGGTGTTAATAGCACAATTCCGTAAATTTGGCAATTGTAGAATTGAATTTTTTTCGGAAATCGATTGATGTTTCCACAACTTTTTTTTTTGCATACATTATTAAAACGGGAAATGAAAATAAACATGTTCTGTATCTCATTAAAGTTATTAGGTCAGATCTGACGGGTGCTAAGACATCAACTTACCGCCATTTAGCATTTGTGTTTTACTTGGAACATAAATATAGAAGCCTGACATCAAGGAGTGAGAATGGAGAGTTCTGTGCTGCTCGTTTTCGTGACTGGGACTGCGCTGTTGACCCATCCGACGTTTGCAATTGGCGAAGGTGAGGAACAAACTTGACTCAGTTTTGTTCCAGTGTATTTATTTGTAGTTGATACTCAATTTCGGAGCGATCGTCAACAAAATTGCGAGTATATAAACGAGTTGATCGAGTTCATCATGAGTTATCAAGAAAAATTTCGAATCCCGAATAAATTCACTTTCTTCCATTTGATAATGACGGAATCTTTTCAAGCCCGTTTTTTGCTTTAAAGAAGATTTGTCATTTCCCTTCAAAAAAAATTTAAAAACAAGTAACAAAACAAACCTGACAAGTTAGGATTAGCAACAAAGGCAACTTAAGATTAACTTCATGCCTGTCAACTATATTTATATTGTCATGATCACCATTGAAGACCTCACACGCTAATGTCGTAAATTTCATTTTAGTTTGAAACACTGAATCTTTATGGAATCGCATAGACACAGATTTGTTGCCGCTCTTTACCGAAATCGAAAATTGTTTTGGCATAAGACACAGGGCCAATGGCGGAATATAGCCTTAGATAGCATTTACATTATCATGCATTTTTTAGGCCGGAACATAACATTTATCCATCACAAGATGTTGATCAGCGGATATTTCTGATTAAAGGGAAGTTCTTGAGTCGAAAACTTTAAGAATACGTTTTGAAGGGGGTATAACCCTAAATGTAAATTTTCCTGTTAAAATTGCGCAGGTGACTTCGATCAATATAGACTTTCTTCACTCTATTTATGAAACTGCAACGTTGCGCTCGTTCAGATCTGCCATTCATTCAAAAGACTTATGTGTCAGAAGCCATAATATCTTTCTTTAATCTTCTCTCTCCTTACCATTCAATGCTCTAATAACAAATTTTCAACAAAAGAAAAAGGATAAATTACCGATTTTATTTGTTCATCAAGTCACCCAAAGGAAACTGTGACATTTAACGGGTGGTAGTAAGTTTATCAATATTTGGTAGCCATTATGGGCCAAAAATTGAAAATTTGACAATTACTTGTACGAGAGTAATGCGAAATTTGATGTACTTTTAATATTGCTTTTGCTTATAACAATGAAAATAAGAGTACTTTACCCTCATGTCATGTCAAAAACATCATTAACCCGAATATCAATCTACTACGTGAAGCACGACAACAATGGCTGTTTACAATGCAAATCCACATCAATTTCCTCTTCCTCAAGACAATCCGTTGACGAAACCTTTGCAGGCACATTTATTCCTTTCAAAACTCTCAATATTGATGAGAAAAAAAAGGTATGCTTAAAGAGAATTTATGGTACGCTTTTTGTGACGGCTTTCGACCTAGCTCCCTCTCATGATAAAGTATTCCACAATTAAAGAAGTAACTAAAGATGCTTGTGAAACAGCAGGTGAAAGACCAATGTACGATTTGTAGCCATGACAAGGGTCTATTGATTCTCCATTCGTACCATTTTCCTCTATCACGGGTTACATATCACTTTTTTAGATCATCGCTCTCGCGAAATTACATCGGAAAGGATTTTCAAAGGTTTCCAATGTTTCCAAAGGGTCTTCCAGTTGTTTCCAATGTGTTATCATTAGGGAGTTTAGGCTATCGCGACGGCGAAATTAAATAAGCGAATAAAATTCAACATGCAATTGTCTTAAGAACTTCGCATTAAATGGTCTACTGAAGGCGGCATCGAGACCCAGATAGAAGAATAATTTCCGATCCTAAATCTTTGTTCTTTTCTGCTTTTGTTTGTAAGTGTGGTTTCATATTTATTCGTTTTTTGTTTCAAATTTTTTTTCGATTTCATTGGTTTTTTTTTGCTTTATTATGTTTGTTTGTTTTGGGATTTTTTCAGTGGTTATTTGAAATAGAAAATAGAGTAGGCATGCTCGGTGCTTCTTTGTTGAATACATATGTATGCAAGTTAAGGTCATGCTCTTGCTTTACAATAAAATGACTGCGAAATTAAGAATCTTGAGGCAAACTTTCCCATTTCATATAAACCTGTTGTTTTATCATTGCCTTTCCTATGGCAACTTTCTTTCTTTCAATTGTTTTATTTCAGAACGTGATCGCATTCTGCTGTTTCCCGATAACTTCTTTTTTGCTGAAAGACGGTTTGTAAACCACATCATCGATACAAAAAAAGTTAAGGATTTGGATCACTGTGAGCTTTTCTGCTACATGAACGACAAATGCGTTAGTGCTAACTTCAAAAAAGAGCCAGAGCCTGGAGGAATGACTCATGTTTGTGAATTGAATAACGCTACTCATCTGGATTATGATACTGACCTGATAACTGATGCCAATTTTTATCATCGCGGCTCTAAGGTGAGTTACAACTAAAACTTACCTCCTTGAATTGACGCCTTATATTCGATAGAATTATACGCGATCACCGACGTGTTCAGAAACTTTCATCCTTTTATTCACTTATCGTAGATCTTTCTCCTGCTGTTTCACATTCTTTTCTTCCTTTTCAGAACGCCTGCGGCAAGAATTCACGGTGCCAAAATAATGCAATTTGTGAGTCCGGTTTCACATTCAAGGGATATCGATGCTTGTGCCCTCCTGGATTCGAGGGAGAAAATTGTGAAAAAGGTTAGATTCAAAAGATGCCAGAAAAAGCAAAATATTGCCTTGAACATGTTGAATTTTAAAGACATTTGGTCGTCGAGTGAGTATCTTACTCCCGGGCTGGCCTTTGACGACTGGTAGCAGAAAAACATAGTGGTGTTAGGTGATTGATCTAAAACTAGACGTAACAATGGCAAAAAAACTTTAGAGGCCTTCTTTTCGAACCAAAGTAGTGGACAAAGGAAGCGCTCCCGTAACCTGTAAATTGTGCAATGTTGCTCGCTCGAGTTAAATTGTCGAGATTGTAGTGAGTGAAAAATGGTATGAGCTGTTATACTAGCATTATTTTGTTAGTGGTCATTAGTCATCCATAAAGTTTTCGCTTTTCTAAATAAGAAAAATGGTTACAATCTGTCTCATATGATGAGAAATTACAAAAATTTATTCATTGGTGTTTATATGACATTTCTCTTGTTAAAGATATTCAGATTTCAATTCAAATATACTTTTATATTATTTCACTTCACTTTTGATTCTTTCCTTTAAGACTGATCTTTGATTCTTTCCTTCGGTTTGGAAATGGATCGACTGTATATGAAGACACTCGGAACATATTTTAGAGAATGCCTTATTTTACTTCTTATTAAGGCAATACAGCGTATGCCCACACCCCTGAGAGACAAGCATCAGCTAAAATCAACGAACGAGTTATTTGTATAATATTTTGTTAACCATTTCATGTAAAAGATAAAGAGACTGACATATTACCAATGCCTTCCTGTCGTTCCTAGATATCGACGAGTGTGCTTCAAATGACAATAAATGTGCTAAGGGTGCTGCCATTTGTAAAAATACGGTAGGATCATACAATTGCACCTGTCATTTTGGACATGAATGGGATGGCACTGAATGCAAAGGTTTGTTGTCTTCATTTTTCTCACTAGCTTCAGAGTCGGAGGGTAGGAAATGCAACGTCTTATGGACCGGTACCTGTGTCTATATGTCCCTCTGTCTGTCTGTCTGCACGCCTGCCTGAAAATTCCTCTTCACTGATACTGAAGCGTTTAGCAAATGACAGGCGCTATGGGTTGAGGCGAATTTTTTTGTTCCAGCGGGAAAATATCAAATTAGCATATATGAAAACAATGATCAATAGGAAAATTTAATCTTTTTATAAGAGACTAAGTGTTTTATTTGTTCAAAGTTAACAAAACGACAACATTGTAAGTTCAATTTATTCGATTTTCTACCATTTAGCTGATGTATGCCAACTCAACACCGTTCTGCACGATGTTGATAGAGACGTAAGCCACCATGACCCGGAAAAAACAGAATGTGACCAAAATCTCAACCCTGATTGGTATCGTTTCTTGGACATTCCAGGAATAACAATGCCGACTGAGTGTCCAGATCCTGACAAGTGCGGCACATCATTTCCAGGCTGGTTGAGCAGTAGTCACCCCACAGTGACTGAGGGAGAAGTAGCAGGGACTGTTTGCTTCAGCAGGAGCTCGGATATGTGCTGTCACCAGTCGAAAAACATAAGGGTGAAGAACTGTAGTTCCTTTTACGTCTACTATTTGGTGCCGACGAGCTGTCCCTACCGTTACTGCTTCACCCATAACTGAACATCTTAAAACTGTTAAATATTTAAGAATATTGACAGCTTGTTGGGTTAAAACATATGCTCTTCTTGGGCGAGGTTTCAAGGCAACGAAGCCCAAAACGAGAATATGTTTTAACCCAAAGCCGACAATATTTTATGGTATTGGTGTCTGAAAATCGCACTCAGTTGTTTTTATAGTGATCCATCCAGTAGAAGGATAAGTAAAACTACATACAAATTAGTAAGTGCATGATCAAAAATTCCATTCTCTCTTTCTTTAATACATATCCATGGGAACAGCATCTCGAAGATGAAGTGCTGTGGCGGGTATTTGGAAGATTTTGTAGCATTTTAAATCAATGAGCTCATCTGGAAGCGATAAAAACTTACCAAAATATTCTTCTGGTGAGCTTGAAGTCCGAAGACCTACCAAAGTATAATTATGTAGCATTCAGCTTAAATGTTTTCAGAATGCTGTTTAAAGAGTTATTTCACAATGTTGAGGCAGAGGAAGGCCAAATCGGTTGTACTAAGTTAAGGAGCGAATCTTACCTTGTCTGGTCCTAAAGAAATGATACTTCGATGGTAAATAAGGCTTGCATAATTTCTGAGGTGCTTTTTGTCGTGAACATAGAATAGAAAAAGCTTTTTTCCTATGTAAACTCTCCTTTGTAATACTTCAAAGATTATTTAGCACCTGTTCTTCATTGATCCCTCTAGTTGTTGATAGTAACATTTTGACAGTTGAAAACTATCAAAAATCTACTTTTTTTTGGTACTTTTGTCTCCGTCTTGGTCCCCTATAATGTTATCGTAGGTATCTCCAACTCTTTATGAACCCTATTGATTCAATTTAAGACTCGACCAAACTGCAATGCATGAGGAACTGTATTGACCTTGGTTACGGTAAATAATGACCAGAAACTAGCAATCAGGAAAGGGGCAGGACCTTCTGAAAAGAGAGTCAAAACATTTCTTCTTATTAGTAAGATTTGGTAAGGGTGAAACTCTTAGCCGGAAATTCTTAGGTGGCTTTGGTGTAAAGTTCGTCAACTTATCATTAAACATATTCCGACAGAAATAACTCTTGTAATATAGTTATTTCTGTCGGAATATATCAAACTTAGCGCTTAAAAATAAAAAATACTAATACAAATAAAATATTTTTGCCTCAAAAGATAAAAACTGCACATCTTATGTTACATACTTTTAGAATAGATATTAAAAAGGAAAATTGGGATTCCATATTGACCTGTAGCGAAGTCAATGAAAGGCTTACTAGATTTTTTCGTATTTACAATAGAGTAAGTAATAAACATGCACTTTTTAAAACAGCTAAGATTAGACACAAAACTTATAAGCCCTGGATTGCTACAGGACTGAGTGATAAATTTTACAAGAGGTGGTTGACAACTCATATAACAGATTTTGAAATCGCATAAACGAAATAAAGGAATAAAGGTTTCGTATAAAGGAACAAAGTCGCTGATGATCCACCCACCTAGATGTAATTATTATTCTGTTATTTTTCCATATCTTTCATATGGTTGTGCACTCTGGGGAAATAATTATAATTCACCACTTTCTAAAGAGTAAAATTAAAAGACAAAGCGGTTCGCATTATCAATGATGTTCCTCTCATGCAACCAACTACTCCTCACTATACAGCTATGGGACTTTTGAAAGTTCCTGACATTGTCAAACTCAATACATCTTTACTTCTCTACGACTATTTCAATGCTGACAAACGTTCAAACTTTAATCTCTCCTTAGTGTCCAAGCTGCATGCTTATGACTCTCGAAGTGTATCCTCCAACCATCTGGCAAATACTTCTTTTCGACATATGTCGGGAAATTTTGTTCAACAGTTGTCGGTAGGTATATCTGAAACGATATTCCTCAACCTATTAGAGAGAAACCAACTAAACAAATGTTTTAAAAAAGCACTTCCACATTACTATCTAACTCAATAGTTAGTATTCAAGTACTTCATCCTCTGTCTTTCTCTTTGAGTTAAGTCTAGTTTGGTGAATCACTTTTTATCCTAAATTAAGGGGGACTAATTAGGTATCTAGATGTCCCCCTCTCCTCTCTAAAATTTGAATGTACCGAACTAGAAATGCTTCGTCAATACTTTGTTTATTGTGTTACTTAACTAAGTTCTACGTGGAGTGGAAAAATTAATAAAAATAAAAATAAATATAAAGAGATACAAAAGATTCTCTCTTGAGTGCAGGGAAGTTCATCTTTCTAAAAAGAAACAGCTGGTTTTTTGAAGAAGCGAAAGGTAATCGCCATCATACTCTAAAGGAACTATCCAATGCTCAAGAAGATTTGTTACTTCGCTCCGGTGAATTCGGTGCTGAAAGCCCTGAAGCCCTCCCACGCATAGTTTGGTGGTTATTGGCACTGCACATTAGATCCGTGCCCGAGACGAGAGCGGGAAACTAAACTGGGATGCTTTGTTCTTCAAACAGGCAACGAAACAAGCTAGGAATTTCTGATTTGAAAATCAGAAAGAGGATAAAAGACCCACCGCGGCAATGGTGATTGTTCCGACGAACGCTTGGTCATTAACATTTACGCCGTCCGTTGGGACGGCCGAACAAAACACTGCATGCTAGGAATTAAGTCTTAACTAATTAATATTCAAATCGGTCGTGTTAGTTAGTTAGTTGCCGTTCAGCAGTCGCCGAGTTCGGACAAAAAAAAAACAAAAAAAAAAAAACAATACGTTTAGTCGCTGCGTTTTCGTTTTCGAATTTTGTAATAGTTGTAGAATTTATCGTGGAAACAGTGGTACACGAGCATTTAATCCAATCTCTTAAGAGTATGATGCATAATGATTATAATCCTTAATCTGGGTTCAGCTATGGTCTTGAATGGATAAAATTCCTTAAGCTAACTACATCTCTCCATACGCAAAGATCTTAGGTCATTTGTCAGCCTCACCACACTTGTTCATCACATCTCGGCTTATCATATCTGTAGTCATGCTGAAAATTAAGGCCTAAGACAATAAGTTGAAAGCATTGTAGTATGTTAAAAATATCTTATTACTCATCGATAGGCTTCTTCCTACTCAAAACAATTTCACTTTTCAAAGAAGTCAGAAGGAATGTGACAGTTTTTCGATAAACGTGGCTATCCGGTTTCTGTCATTCGAGTGGGCCACCACCGCGCCCAACAAATTGATTGACATTCAACACTAGCAACGACACAGAAGGAAAATACCGATTGTATCCCATTCACTCTCACATCTCACCCCCACAACTACGCAGTTGATTCTATCTTTCTTAAAAAATTTTAATTGCTTCAAACGGTTCAGAGACCAGTGGTATCTTTTCAGAACCGCAACTTATTTCATTCAAACGCAACAAAAACTTAGGCAACTTTTTTGTCAGAAGTTTATTTCAAACCAATGAGCAACCTGGGATTTTCAAATGCGCTCGCTCACGATGCATAACTGGTCCTTTCATTCATAATGTAGAGAAAATGTCGGGACCGGAGAGACCCATTAAGATTACTGTCATTTTAAGTGCACCTTAGCCAATGTTATCTATTGCATAACTTGCACTCATTGCAAAAAGTTATACATCGGTGAAACGGGAAGACGATTAGGTGACCGACTCCAAGAACACCTAATGTACTCCATAAGTTCACATTTCCCATACTTTTGATTGCAAACGATTGGAAACTGACAAAGAGAATGCCATGCGCAAAAGCAAAGTCACGCCAGTCAGTGAAAATGATTCAGAATGGAAAACGTCAATAACTAAATTTTTGTTCTGCGCATAAACACCCACGCCGCCTTTGTTCCTATAACAACGACTAGATCCTATTCCTCTCGGAGATTGTATAAACTAGGAATATTGACGACAATCTCTGCTTTTTCTGGTTTGAGATGTTTCTCTAACAACAACACACACATTGATGTTGTTATTCATCAAATCAGTTTCCAAGGCTACACCTGTTCAAGCTTTGTTCTTAGTTCGATTTTTTTTTTGCTCAGTATTTATTGCTGTCTAAGTAATTCTGAGTATTGTGAATCAATTCGGTCTGCCACATCCAAGGCCAGCTTTGAAACTTGATGTATACTCTGTACTCTTTGGCCTGATCCACGCCACCAAATAATACATACAGAACTCACCTTAACCACTATGCTACTGTGACAAACAGACGTCGCGAAACACCTATTATCGTCGTTCGTTTGTTCATTATTATACTTTCGCCACAGTTTTTTTTTTCTGCGACGTCCACATTCGTTTTCCATATGTATAGGTCGTTTTTAGTTAGGCTCCGAACATAAATCCAGCCTCCAAAGTTAATGCTTTTCAATTTATTAACCCAAAGAGAAGAATTTCGGCTACACCTATCATACAGAGAAAGTTATCTTTTCACCAACCAGTCTTTCTGTAGCTCTAGACATTGTTTCATTTTAAGACGTTCTAAAGATTCAACCGCTGAAACTCAAGAACCCTTATCCTATGCGGTAAGAGTCACATTTCCCTGTAAGTTTAAAATGCTAACTGCAGCTAATGGCTCATCGTAAGTGTGCTGGAGGGTAGCCCGGTTTCAGAGGCATTAATAGGCTAGGAGTGCTGATACTCGGTGGAAACTAGGATGTCCGTACATGGCCGGGTTACCCTTCAGATTTTTTGATTTACTGACATTTTCTCAGTATTCTGATACACTCTTGAGTGGAGACGGGCACTGAGAGAATATTTTTTGTGAGAGGAAAGCAACACAGTGACCCAGCCGAAGCTGAACCTGGAACTTTAATCCGGCGGTAAGGGCCAACCAAGAATACCAACTCTGATACAGCGAGGCCTTGGTCAATCGGAAAGATGGCGACAACGGATTGGAACGGATTGGAATGTGTTGCGGCGTATGGTCTGTACATTTGAGTGATGGTCAAGGCCTTTGGACCGGTCAATATCACAAAACTGTTATTTTAAATTATCTTTGACGAAAATTAATTAAATTATCTTTCTTCATCGTGATAAGTGCGGATATTGACTGTGACTACGGATTAACAGCTGTAAATATTTCTAGTTATGATAACAAACAGCAAAACCAAAAACATAGAAACTATTCTTCTCTCAATGTTGTTACTCTCCTTGGCTTACAACTGAAAAAAAAAGAGATAAGGTTGTCCTTAAAACAGAAGACCCTACCTTAGATATTAATTTTCAGCAGAACTGGATAAGAAAATTTGTCAAAT